TCCAAAGACAGAAAAAAATTTGAGAGACAAAATATAGTTCATCCACCCAAATACAGATACTACACTTTAATCCCAGCCTGATTGCCAAGGTGCATAGAAGAGTATAACTTGAGTAGCACTGGTTGCTCAATCAGTGAATGTCAAATATTTTCATATAAATATACAGCTAAAATTACAATTACCTTTACTAAAGAGAAGTAAAAAAAACAAGAAAAGACAAAACTCCAATCATGTCAACAGTTTTCTGCACATCAATAATTTAAGAAAGAAGGAAATTTAAAAAAAAAATCTTAATTAGAAAGGAAGATGAGGTTTCGATTTTCATAATATTTTGATGATTAGCAACTCTCTCCAGGGCATGTTCATAAAACTATATTATGTTGCTGGTTTACCTGGGTAAAATTTGTAATAACAGACAAGCATTATAAACTGGAATAAAATTAATCAGAATATTGCACTCCTGACAGGAGATAACTGCTTTCTCTTCCAGAGGAATATATCAGAGAAGAACCAATTAAAACAAAAAAAAAAAAAAACAACAGTTAAATGACTAGATATTTTCTTCATCTTTTTCTTCTATGTGCCATTACCTTTCAGGAAATGAGCAATAATGGCTCTCCACAACTTTGTGACCTTTGTATGTCTTAGTAACATATATCTTTTTTATTATACTTGAAAGTCCCTTTTCAGCCATACATTTGCACAAGCTCTTTAGGTTGGTTACCCGTTGTTTCCCATCAGCTTCTTTTGCCTTCAATATATCTTGTGAGTATCAAATTTTCCAAGCTTTCTTCTTTCATTACATATCTCAGAAATTTCAATTCTATCTTTCTGATTCTAAGGAAAAGCCTCCTTTTTGCTTCCATTTCCTTTACAACTTCCTTATTATTCACAGATTTTGACCATGGTATTAAGAATATTCTTCTATAGAACCACTACTCAATTTTCTTCTCTTCTTAATCTGTGAGGAGATTATCTAGCATTCACAGTTTATAGGAGGATTAATATTACAGCAGTTCAGTAATCTTTTCTTTGTTTTTAATGAAGATTTCCTTTTTCTTAATAAGAGGAGTCATTTTTAAGTTGTTTTTTTTTCTCACAATAATCTTCTACAGCAAGCATTAAATAAGGATAAAACAATTTTGAAAAATAATGCATTCTATATAAATAATGCTTTCTACATCTTACATAAAATAATCTTACATAAAAACAATTATTTTTTGAAATGGGTTTACATAGAAAGCATTATTTTTCAAAATGGACATAGAATGCGTTATTTTTCAAAATAAAGACTATTTTGAAAAATAATGCTTTTTAGATAAGACTATTTGAAAAAAATATGAATTTGAAATTGATTTATAAAAATGAAACCATGGAAAGTGACAGTCTTCATAAAATATTCTCCAAAATTTTTGCTTCCATCATAAAATAAAAATTCTCATTTTCGCTTAATCTAAGTTGACAAAATATATTTATGTTTTATTTTTCATTCATTCTTATTTTCCTATGTGATTACAATTGTATATCATGATTCATATAAAAAAAAAAAACAGATGTTAGAATCAAATTCAATGTGCATCATAAACCTTTGATATAAGAGGAGTTGATATGTGGCAACCCCAGAATGTACTGGGCACACCTTAAGAGATATGAAAGCAAGGTTTATGTCTCATTAGAACATCAAAAAAGCTGTTTGGCACACAGGGTTGACCCTGAAGGAAAACTCCTAGACAACAAATGCAGTAGAGGGCCTCAAAGAATGTTAGTGGATTCACTGTCAAAAACAGGAAGTCAACTTAGTTGAATGTAGGATATACATGCACGACAACTGGATGACAGAAGTTTATATAAAAGCATGACATATAAAATATCATATATAAGAGAGAAGACAGAATTCCTCACATCCTCAAAAACCACATACCATCAACATCCGATATTAATTTTATGGGGTTCAAAACGAAATATGCAACTATTTTATAAATGAAAAAATTGGTCTCGTATTCTTATCAGACATTCTAATATATCATTATACTATCACAAACATAAATCATAATTAAATAATTGTTAGTATTCAAAATTATTATGGAAGTCTTGCTTAATAAATTATATATTAATTAAGTTCTGTTCATAAATAATTGTTTTTCAAATATTTCCATGATAAGAGTTGAATTTGTTCTAAGAGCTGAATATCTCTGAGAAATACATCTAAAGAATAGTTCCAAGACAGGTTGTACAGTCATAGCTAGAATAGGCCAAAATGTTCAGCCAGCACTGTGTGGAACTTCTGAGTCTGCTGTATTGAAATAAAAGCAGTGTGACTATCAAGATACTATTCACAGTCAGAGGACATTTTCAGTTTTTACTCACTTAAATAATATCATATCTATTTAAATGTTTGTTATCTTGGCCAAACAATAATAATTATCCAATGATGTATTCTGGATTGTTGGTTGTTATATATATTTCCATTATTTTCCATAACGGAAGCTCATTTGAGGATATGTGTTTTCATATTTTTCATCTTTTGTGCCTGTTAATAGTTATATATATATATGTGAATAAAAAATAATTCCAAGAGGATAGAATCCAGGTAGAACTCAATGTCCACGACAGAGTAAGGATATAATAAAAAGGCTTAAACACTAATATTCCATGGTCATAATTTATTCCATTGGAATCATAAATATGATCCAATTCATCAGACCTACAAATGTATTTATGTTTCCAATGGAAAAAATTATGATGATGGAATATTAGCGTTTAAGCCTTTTTATTATATATATATATATTTTAGGATATTAAAACAAAAACATGTTAAAAATTGATACACAATTACAATCATGTTTTAACACAACAAATGTGTTCTTCTTGGGCAATTTCAAACCACTGGTGGGCAAAAGATTAATTTAATTTCAAAAGCAGAATACTTTAAAAAATAGGCTTGTGGGCTTTGCTGTGGTTAACCAATCAAATGTAATCTACACTAAATTCAAACTCATCAGAAAAAAATTTTAATATATGGAATAATACTCCATTTGTTCTCAATTTACCTGGATATACACACACACACACACACACACAAATAAGAGTGAGTCAATGGAAAATATGTTGTATTTCTTGCAGCTAGCCAGGTTGAAGGGGTGGCAAACTCAAGGGCTGTCCTGGGTGGCATGCACTCTGCCCCAAGTATTATACATATGAGCTATGCCACTGAGGTCATGTTAAATCTTTGAATCTTTGTTCTAAATAAGTGGGCATATCTAAAAAAAGATTATGATGATTCATGCTTTTATGTTCAGACATTTAGAAAACTTCATGTAAAATGATTAAAAAATTTCTACCTAAAGCAGTTACTTTCTTGCACAAAATCCAAAATTCTCTTTCCTTCAAGAAAAAAATTCAGAGAAAGTTCTTTTGCCATTGACCAAGTAAAAGAGCAGCTTAGTGAATAAAAAAAAATAACGGTTTGATTAGAAACTTTTTAAAACCAGATCAATTTCAGGGTTAAAGAACTTTATTTAACTGAGGAAATAAAGTCTATTATAAATATGGGGCAATTTGAATTTCTTTCATGTCTGCTGAAAAAATGCTAAACTTTTATTTACCAGAAATTTTTAAAACATCAAAAAATATCAAAATTCATACAATTGTGATATTTCTATATTATTTGAAAAGTATTATTTTGTGCTGCTCTCCACAATTTCATGTCCTTTGTAGCTCTTAATAAATTTTGTCTCTTTGCTATCTCTCCTAAATTCTCTTCTGCAATATTTTTATTCAAACATGCTAGATAGTTTACACATTGTTTTCCTCTGTCACTCTCACCTTCAATTTATCCTGTGAATATCAAATTTTCCAAGCTCTCAAAACTAATTAAATTCTCTAGAAATTTCAAATGCCCCTTACTGATCCTAAGCATAATTGTCCTTTTTGTTTCTATTTTCTCTAAAACATTGCCATTGCTCACATGTTTGGTCCATGGTATTTTTTAGCATCCTTCTAAAGAACCACATTTCTGCTACTTCATGTCTCTTCTTCATCTGTAAGGAGATTGTCCAGCATTCACTGCTATATAGAAGGACTGATATTATGCAATAGTTTAGTACAGTTTTCTTTTGTTTCTAATGAGATTTTCTTGTTTCTTAATATTTTACTTAGATTTTAAAAGGCATCATTTGTTATACAAATGCACCTTCAGGTTGAAAAATAACTTCCTTTCAGAAAGTATTGTACCAAAAATAATTTAAAAGAATGTGAACATTTTGTTGTTATTCTTGTCTAGTTATTTTAGCTATGATTTATTATATAATCAAGATGTATAAAAGATTTTTAATGCATATTTTACTCTTCCCATCATATAATAGAAATACATTTCCATCATGGTTATAAAGTAGATACTTCCCAAGAGATTAAGAGAAAATTAATGCTGATTAATGCTAAACAGACCACATGTCAGAAAACAAGAGGTGCTCAAGCCAACTTGATGGAAGAAAGGATTTAAAAAGATGTCAAAATTAAATATAAATTAATTACTACATATGTTGTTTTATCACATTATTAAAATATGAATTGTAAAAAGAAAATGTCTTATTAAAATTTAATCTGATTTGTTTTTTTTAATCAAATATATGATGATTGAGAAACATCATCTTTCAATATGTGGCTTCAGTTATTTTTAGCCAAATATGCTTATTTTTGTTTTGTTTGATAAACAACCACTTATAGCATCGTTATTTTGAAATCATCAGGCAACAGAATTGCTGACATTGCCATACCAGAGATAAAAATTAAATGAACAAAATTCATTGTACTGATTATTTTACAATGAACCCTGCAGCCAAAATGCTGGGTATTTTAATTAAAAATGGTGAAATGAAGACTCATTCAAAAGGTAAATAGGAATTCTTTCCCAAAATTTAATAATTCAGGTTAATGACCTTCTAATTTTTTTTTTTTTTTTGATGCACTTGTGAAAAAAAAGATTCAGGCATGATTTTGAATCAGAGACTGGATAGTGAAAAATCTAAATAGCAAAACAATAAGGAGGATGTTGAATATTTTAAAATTAAGAGTACAATAATGAATGAATAAATAGTTGAATAAAAAGCAGACAGGCTAAAAATGGAAAGCAAAAAGATAAAAACAAAAAAAAGGAAGGAGAAAGGAGAAAAGCAAGAAAAGGAAAGAGAAAGGAGAAAAGCAAGAAAAGGAAAGAGAAAGGAGAAAAGCAAAAAAAGGAAAGAGAAAGGAGAAAAGCAAAAAAAGGAAAGAGAAAGGAGAAAAGCAAAAAAAGGAAAGAGAAAGGAGAAAAGCAAAAAAAGGAAAGAGAAAGGAGAAAAGCAAAAAAAAAGGAAAGAGAAAGGAGAAAAGCAAAAAAAGGAAAGAGAAAGGAGAAAAGCAAAAAAAGGAAAGAGAAAGGAGAAAAGCAAAAAAAGGAAAGAGAAAGGAGAAAAGCAATGAAAGGAAAGAGAAAGGTGAAAAGCAATGAAAGGAAAGAGAAAGGTGAAAAGCAATGAAAGGAAAGAGAAAGGTGAAAAGCAAAGAAAGGAAAGAAAAAGGTGAAAAGTAAAGAAAGGAAAGAAAAAAGTGAAAAGCAAAAAATGGAAAGAGAAAGGTGAAAAGCAAAAAGTGAAGAGAATAGTAGAACAAAAAGACATAGAAAGAGAAAGGAAGAAAGCAAGACAAAGAAAGAAAGAAAATTTTAAAGAAAGCAAAGTCAGACAGAAAGAGAGAAAGTAAAAGAAAAGAGTCAATGAACAGTTAGAAAGTATGTGAAGAAAAGGAAATTGAAATAAGGTGAAACTAAATGGGAAAGTATTTTAAAAGAATAAAAAAAAAAATTATTCAGAAATTGGAAATTAATGAAAACTGTAAAAAAAGAAAAGAAGGAAGAGAAAATATAGTGATGAGATTATGAACTGAACAGATTCGGTAATGTTTTTGTTTTTTTTCCATCTGTTTACTATATATCAAACAAGAGTGTTGCCTGTCACATGATAGTATTTTAATGTTGGAAGTGTATTTTTGCCAATGTAGGTAATATTCCTTTTGGACACATTTTGGTCATCAATACTTCAGCTATCCAATGAATTTCCAGAAAAAGTCACTAAACATTCTCTTGGACTTTGAAATGAGTTGACAGCTAATAAGCATCTGTAAACAATGATATTTTAAGTGAAATAAGATTTTTTTTCAGAATACATTTCAATAATCATTAATCTGACAGATTTTCACCAAATTCAGATATGTAGTGTAATGTAATGAATAGCAACTTGGAATGAGAAATCAGAGAACTAAATTTGAATTCCATTTTTCATTACAACTGCTTACATGCAAATACCCTAGGGAAAGATATGAAGCCAGCACATCTCCCCACAACTATGGGTTAACTAGTAAGACTTGTCACAGAAAAAAATCAATATTCCAAGAACTGTTAATGTAATATTCATCTGCAAAAAAATATTATTCTTACAATCCAAAAATAGATTTACTTTGATCAAATAGAAATATTTACTGAAGTCTATATCACTCAGATGGGAATGTGTAAAAATGAAGAGAAGGAAAATTGTTTTTCATCACTGTACCAAGTGAGGATGATTGCCTTTAATATCAGCCTTTTAATTCCTGTGATCTGTTTCTGCTCAGATACTGACTAGGAAAATATCTATAACTTTCTCTGTCACTAAGCGGTGCTCAAATCTCCCATTCAGATATAAAGAATTTATTGATTTATGTTTTGTCTTTGGTATAACAATGTTAGCAATTGCATTGTTTGATGATTCCAAGATAACTTTGTTAAACAAATTCAACTATATATATATATATATATATAAATATATATATATTTTTTGACAATTTTCTATGTTAATGGTGGAAAGAGCAAATCAGGAACAGAGTATTTGCTATGTGAAACGGTGTGTACATAAAAATCAACACTGCCTGATGATGGTCAGTTTCACACTAGAAACAATTTTCAGAAAGTAATTATCATCATGGAAGGGTTGAAACAGACAATCACCATGCAGTGTTGAGTTCTATGTCCACGCACACTATATATATATATATATATATATATATATATATATATATGAATGTTTTTCTTTCTTTTTATATGCCTCACATGAGTAAGGATCAAAGAAAAAGAAAGTGAAAATGCAATTGCTGTCTTTAAGAATATTTATTTAAAGTAAATTTACCATTTTCAAAGTTCGATGAGATGGAGAGATATATGGCTACGCTGTGATATGTCTTCCATCTCTCTCTCTCTACCAATAACATGACTCAGAGTTTCATCCCCAACGCAATTTTTACGTGTTAAGTATAGACTGGCCATTACGTAATTTAAATTTAAAAAATATATCTGGTTATTGTAATGTTGTCATCGATATATATTATACTGGGATTACAGGTTTTAATTTTTAAAATTATATATGGCATTTAAAACAAATGGGATTTGTATATATATCTAAAAAAATTTATTTTATAGTTGTGAATATTCATTTTTTGTATTATGAAAGGGAGATTATTTGCACATTTTTTATTTTTTATATATAAAAAAAACAAAAAAAATCCATAATTTACCTAAAAAATAAACCACAATTTATATTAAAAATTAATTTAGATGAACATATTGAAGCAGATATTTATTTTTATGTATATATGTAACCATTAATTAAGCTAGTGTTATTTAAGTGTTTTAAGTGAACCAATTTTTCAACAAGACATAAGTTACATTTATTTCATTACCTGTTATAAAATTTGGCTCTTGTTATAATATCCCAGTTGATGGCTGGTGAGTTGCCATCATTCTTTAATTGTTAAGAATAAGTGTAGAGAGCAGTGCTATTTTTGTATTTTATATTACCGCAAGTCATTGAATGACGGTAGAAACGGAATTTCCAATGATTTTCAGTGGAACCAAAATAAAATTTAACATCATTACCAGAATGTATGCTTGCTTGTTATATAATATTATCAGTGATACATTGACCATTTAAGAGACAGATCATATTTTTTTGGCAGTTGTATTTATTTTTTAGAAATATTTACATTGTCTTTGTTGGAAATATATTTGTTTAATGTAATAATGTTATGTTGAAATACAGTTTTATCTCTGTTATTAATGCATCTATAGCTGATTTTAACATTATTTTTAAAAAAATCTTTTTAGTGTTGGCAAATGTATAAAATACTTATAGATTAAATTTAGGAAATTTCTTCCGTTGTTAATTTGAAATTATGATTACAAGGTAGATTGGACCATTTTTATGTTTATGATATTTCTGTTTATTTTTACCTTCTTTGTTTTTTTTTCTAAATACTCTAAACTGACTTTATGATTGTTTAGTTTTTTTTTATTTAATTTTATTATTATCAAATATTTCATTATTGCTGGAACTGGTAGTTAATCTAAATTAGAGTTATAGTGCAAACTAAATTAGAGTTATAGTGCAAATTATCTAAAATTTTGTGGCAGTGGTTTGCTTCTTTACTGACATACCTAAATATATACATAATAATTCTGTTGTATTACACTGAGCACTGTTTTTTTTAACACCAGCACTATATATATATATATATATATATATATATATATATATATATATATATACATACACATGGGATGATTGAAAAGTAACTCCCCACTTTATGTATGGCAGACTCTCCCATCTTGTAAAAATTATAGTTAGACAGAAGAGTCCATCATACATAAAAAAGGGAGCTACTTTACTTTTCACTCACTCTGTATATGTAAAACCTCAACAAACTGGTAAAGTAAACACTGGGCAAGCATAATATGAGGTACTGTTGGAATGAGTGTGAGTAAAAATTACCACAAAAATATTGTACATTCTTTCTTTGGTAGATCATTTATTCCAATGTGAAGCTACTCAAAAAATTGTATTTTGAAAGCTAAAACCTTGAAAGTTATAATGACAGACACTCATTATTGCTATGATTTGAATATTCAGTTTAAATATCAAGCCTTTCTTCAAGCTCAATGCTACTTTCAAGGAAACATATTTTATTAACAAATAATGGCAATGGAATCATATTTTATTTACAGGTAATATTTGCTCTGTTGAACTGTTCCTGTTGTTGATTGCCTTTATTCGCTGTCCACAAAAGGGATGATAGAGCTGAATGCTTGTTCCTATAAGTAAAATGTTTTCTCAATGTATGAGGCCATTTCTAAACTTCTATTTATTTATTATCCAATGTTTGTTTCATATCTGCATCTTCATCTATTATAACAATATTTCAGTCACAGTGAATAAAAACATTAGTAACATTCATTAAAAACTTGAGTTCAGACCTCGGGTCTTGTAGTGCCAAAATACATCAACTCACTGAGAAAACAGAACTGCAAAACAAAGACTAAAGGCATATTTGTCTTTCTGCTATGTCCAATCATGGTCATTTACAGCTTCCTGTCTTTTGCTGCATTCAACAATGTTAATGGTAATATTAGCCATTTTCTCATAAGGAAAAAATTGTCTTTCACTGAGCAAGAATCCAGTGCTACTTTTAGCTGAAACTTATAAAATCTTTATATTAAAAGAGTTTCCCAGAAAAATAGGTTCCTCATGTCTAGTAAGTTATTGCTCTTTCTAGTAGTGATGGGGCATCCTTCCTATCCTTTTGCTTCAAGTAGTATGGAATGTCACCATTTTGATTATGACCTTATTTTCTCTTCAAGTTAGATTTAGTATCCATTTTACTTGTTACTGCTGTTGAAAGTCCTCAAGGGATATAGTTTCTGTTATTTGGTACAGTTATTTTTCTATGATTTTGTAGTGACAGTCCTTATTTCTCTATAGACTCTCTTTTTCTTTGTAGTGTGCATTCATTTATCAACTTTCTTAAAATTGTTAAGTAGGTTACCCTCTACTTCTCTTGTCATCAATGTACCTTATAAGTGTGAAATTATCCCAGTCTTTCTTTTTTACTATGTCAGTAACAATTTTGTAGGGATTATTCTCCTTAAAACTTCTTCATTTGTCACATGTGTAGTCCATGTTATTCTCAACATTAAAAGAATATCTTGATGCTTCAGATCTTTTCTGAATTTGTGATTACACTATCCAGTTGTCAGTGTCGTACAGATGATTAGATATCATATAGCAGTCCAACATTCTTTTAATTTAAATATCTGGGAAGTGTTTTAACAGAAAACAGCAAAGTTGACACCAAAAATTTAAAGGCTTGTGAGAATAATGGAAGATACCTTTCAAAAGCTAAGCAAAGTATTAGGAAACAGAAAAATTTCTATAGAAATAAAAAGAAATTTTTATAGAAATAAAGAGGAGTACAAAATTGTTATCTAATAACAATCATTGTATATAGCAGTTAGACAATCTCTTCACAGATGAAGTGATTTGAGGTAACAGAAATGTCACTCTAGAGAAGGATGTAGAGAATACCATAGATGGGACTTGTGAATAACGATGGATTTTTAAGGAAAATGGAAACAGAAAAGGATACTTACGTTTAGACTTAGAAAGAGATCATTAAAATTTCTAGGACACTTAATAAGAAAAGAGGACTGAAGTATCCAACACACTCCAGGATATACTGAAGGCAAGAAGGGAAACAGCAAGTAATCTACCTACCTAATATTTTTTTTTAACCCATAACTCTTTAAGATAATAGAATCACTCCATGTACTGCAACCATAGTAGCAACAGTGTATCCTGGGCAAGATCTTGAGGCTTGTTTTGAATTCAGAGTTTTTCCTTTTCCTAGACCAGATGCCACCCAAGTTTATAGGACCCAGTCTTTCCTGCTATTTACACATAGCTGAGTGGAGAAAAAAATGGAGTCATACCTTTCCCAAGGTTATTAGCATGTAAGTGAATGTAATGAACTTGACTGGAATTTGAACTCAACTCTGAGCCACTATTCATTACTCCACCAGGCCTCCATACTTACCTAATAAGCTTGTGTAAAGTAACAGAAGAACCAGAAGTGGGAAGGATAGTGAAAAGACAAATCTTACAGCTATGAGGGATAGGAAGTTGTGGAGAAGCATGATCTCCCAACTCTTGAAGGGATTTAACACCTAGAAAAAAAGTAGCTTGAATTTCTTAGATGAAGCTTTGTCTCTTATTAGTCTTTGAATAGGTTTTATTTCATCTTCAGGTTGTTTTTCTATGATACAAAACTCAAGTAAGCAGCATGCAGTAGAAAATGAAAAAGTTTGTTAATTATTTATTTCTGATTCATGCTGTTTACTTAATGGCTATAAGATGTGAAAGACAAGATGAAAAGAAAGTATTGAAAAATTAATAATAACAAATAATTTATTTAAAAAAGATTATGAGATTCAAGATAAAGACCTTGCCTAGATTATTGAATATTCATAAAATATATGTCATAAAACTACATTAAAAAAATATCAACAACCTGAGCAATTACCAAGCATTTGATTATTTCAGCTTGGCTCGATTTTGACTGATGTCTGATAAGTAGTATTGTATAAAGTAATTGTTAAGTTTTGCATATATCTCTGTGTAGTAGTAGTCATAGTACAGTTCTATGTGTCCTGAATAGCAACCAGGTTTGCTTGGCATAGCTCCCCCATGTTCACCAGTTGTTCTCTCTTTATTCTTGTCTATCTAATTTGCATATGATATTACATTAATATAAAAGGAAAAAGTCGAATTGCTCTTACTCTTTTTTTGCTCATCACCCATAATATGATCATGTCTTTTGCCCCTTCAGAAGACATCTTCATTCCCAGAGAATATGTTACATCTAACACAGTACTACCATGGTAATATCAAATCTCTTTTAACAACAACAACATATCCACTCAAACCCATGATATAAATATCTATCACCCTCAAAACCATGAAAATATTTATCATCAACAAACAAACCATTGTGCCACTACAAATTAATGATTCTTACAACAAACTGATAACCTAATGCTGTTACATGAGGGTATCCTTTTTAGGTACCAGGAATTTTTAATACTTTAAATGTCACTTCTAGTGGACATCCATATTTGAGTTGATACTCCGTTTATTTTTTAAACAGATTTTATTTTCATCTGAGATATTTGAGATAGCTTATTAAAGAAAAATGTACCCTCAAGCAGGATACGAGCCTGTGTCCCCCTTTCCAGAAATAACTATCATTCGATCAGAGGTGCATTAAGCAACACAGCTATGAAAAGCTTGTAGTTAAGTGAGTTTGTTTACTGCATTTAAGCACATACTTCTCATTTAGATTTCCAGAAGTTTATAACTGCTCTGTTTCATACCTGAAAATTAAACAAAGCAATAAAGATGCTCCATTTATTTTTTATCAGCTGTTTAAAAAAATAAACGGTAAGTCTACTCAAATATGGGTGCACTCTAAAACTAATATTTAAAGTGATAAAAATATGTGGGATTAATAAATAAAATAAAAAAAAAAACATTATTTCTTTACATAATAGTGAGAACAGTCTTTTTTACAAAAAATTTAATTACAGGTAAAAAAGATAAAATTTGAGGAATACTTTATAAAAAATTCCTAAGCTATCTTATGGAAAAACAAAAGAAAATTATTTCCCCACTCAAAACAGATGATCAGCAGTAGTAAGCTAATGATACAGGTTTGTCTCACATTGAGATAAGCAATGACAGAAAAACTACAAAGAACGTTTTCCATTACATCATTATTATTTCTTTCATCCTGGAGATTTCAAACAATAATTTACTCCTCAACAAAACCTAAATGACATGAACACTTACAATAATGAGGCTGTTCATTAGAAATCAAAAGCTTCTATCATCAGAGCTAGCTTCACTATAAAGTTACTAATAGGATACTAATAACGCAACTGGACTTAGTGGTACATTATTTTGAATGGATGACATAGAAACATATCAGACGATTGTACGCTTTCATATAAGCCGACAAACCACTCAAATAAATTGACTAGATTCAAATAATATATATATATATATATATATATATATATATATATATATATATATGTATACAGAGAGAGAGAGAGAGAGAGAGAGAGAGAGGAGTGAGAGTGAGTGAGACACACACACACATTATTTTCTGTCTTAATCTTTTATTGTTCTCTCTCCACAAGAGTATTTTTTTATCATAATCTCTCACACACATTTACTTGCTTGGGATGGAGCTATATATATATATATATATCTACATACATGCATGCATGCATGGATACACACAATACATATATTAGACAAAGAGTTGGAAATAAAAGGCATAAATGTCACTGAGAAGATCAACTTTCTCCTTTTCTCTTATGTCATTCATGTTGTTGCTGTTTTGGTTTATCATAAGCACTAAAGTGTACGGAATTATTTTCTGGGTATAAAATGACTAATTTTGTTTTGAAGTTCTTTGTTTTTCTTTTTTTTTCATCATTGTTCCTATGTTTTGTTGTTTTCCTTTTTGGCATGAATCAGGATAAACATTAAGTAATCAACTCTGATGGTACGAACCAAAGCGCAAGAAATGGACTTTTTTCTTTTTTGATTGGCCACTCTCTTTGTACTTAAGGATTTTGTTTGGAGGTGACAAGTTTAATACTGTCTTAGAGATAATACCCTTCAAGGACTTTACTGTCTGCCAATTCTGATTCACTTGCAACAGAACAATGTAATTGCTTTAGTCAGGTGAGTAGAATATCAATAAAAAGTATGAAAATAAAGATCAAGTCCATTATGATGATTGCAATTAAATTTTGACTCTAGTCTTGCACTTATGGAATGATGCTGGTTCATGCAGATTAATACCGTCCGTATAATTACTTTCTTGTCTCAATAATTTCACTGCTTTGTGAAACAATTATCAAACTGCCTACTTAACTTTAAGTGATAATCTTTTAAAGTAAGCAT